TTAATTGTTCTCCGCGCCGGACGTCCAGTAAGTGTTGTTGTTGGTCCAGTAAGTGTTGTTGTTGGTCGTAATATTATTATAGTTCATCGTGTAAGTTGCTAGTGTGGAACATTTAAAAAAGTAACACTGAAGAAGTGACGTTTACTGTTTCTGTTGATTATCGTCTTCGCATTTCGCATGAAATGAAACATGAGTGTTGATGAGGAGTTCAGTGCCGTATACGGACAATATTTCCATGAAAAGGATGATGAAAACGATGATGAAAACTATGAAGAGAGCGATGATGATGAAGACGAAGTATGTGTATCTCAGGCAGAAGATGATACCGAACAAACTTTTGTTAAGATGGACCTGTATGTTGTTGATGTAAAGGAGGAGGAGCTGGTAACAAAATTTCTGTCAAAAGATTGTTGTAATAATGAATGCCATACTACTCAGCATTATTATTTTTGGCCCATAATACGTTTTTCTATTGTATAATCATGTCTTTATAGCTTATAATTCAATGTATTTTGTTCATTACCAATAAATTATATTTTGTCGTATTTTTACTCTTCTTTCTCTACATTTTTAGTACACTTCTAAGCATGTTAGGATTTTCTGCTTTTCACCACGTGAAAAAGCATCTCATCTTCCATCCGAATCAACCAAAAAGTGAAAATTGTTTTTTTGACACCTAAGCCCCCTTTCCGTAGACCAGGTCACATATATTTGTGGAAATATGTATGTATGTATGTACCAGGTTGCAGCCTGAACGGATGTATAGAATCGAATAAAATTTTGCCAAAGTATTGCCATGACTTCTGGACCTATAATAGGTTAAAAAAATTTAAACTCGCCAAGGGCGTGGGAGGGGATGAGGGATACCTCCCATAGTGAAAATTTTTAATCAGCTCTACTTCGGAATTATAGTCACATGAACTCGAAAATTGAAATGCACTGATACCTATGTTAGGTGCTTATGGAAAGATATATGTATATAAATGAGTTTGTAAAAAGGGGCGTGGCACATCTTATAGGTGTGGAATCTTTTATCAGCTATAACAGCAGGCAGTATTAGTGATCTCATTGTATTGGATTTTGAAAATTTGTTATAATTGATCAAAGTTAAATTCAAATAAATTATAGATGATATGAAGTTCACCGGGTCATCTTCTAATCTTTAATATATAATCAGTTAATATACGGATTAATATTTACTAAAGTGTTACGAACGTTATTTTTTTAATACAATAAGAAAAAAATAACTATAATTTAAAGGAATGACACGCAAAGGCTAGAGTCGTCGCATGTGTGTATTCTTTCATATACATATATATGGGCCGTTCTTACGGTTTATATATTTTTCATCCACTCGCTTATTCCTTACCGAAAATTTTAAATAAAAATTTAACAAGTTTTAACCGCTGATACAGTACAGGTAGCAGTTTAAAATGGGTAACTGGGTAAACTTTATAAAGAAAACATATTCTCTGGCTAAATTAATAAGCCTGCCCGGATAACATAAAATCCCAAGCTTGATAAACATTTGGTGTTATAAAAGTTTTATAAAGCTCTACTTGTAATTAGGAAAAATGCCGAAAAAATTATAAAATTCATTCATTGATTGATTGATTGATAAAAATAGAGAGTGAGTTATGGCTATGCCAATAGAAACTAGAAAAAAGATACCTCGTGTTGAAAGCAAAAAGGATCTAAAACCAAAAAAAATATAAATACATTGTTAATCATAAAAAAATTTATGATTCGAAAAATAATCTTAAAATATTGTAAATTGTTTTTTGGTTTTTTAAAGTTACGGGTAAATAAACCCTTAAACTTACAGTAACGAACAAAAGTATTGGCACAGTAAATTTGACGCAATATAGACAAAGTATTTTTTAGAAAAATTCCAAGTGTGTAGTTTAATAATCCATTCAATTTTAGTTTATCAAAGTGCAGGTTTGAAGTTGCTTGAAAATCTGAATACAAAATTGCAAATTAGTATGCAGATTTATTGAATTTTCCTGAGTTTTTCACAAAGTTTACACATTTGATTTTTATGTGTTTTAGTGTAGTATGAACTATGTTTTTATAAAAAATTCTCGGAAATAAATTAAAAATTTTGCATATATGTAATGCGAAAATTTACTGTGCCAAAACCCTCGTATAAGCACCTACCATTGATGTGTCTGGATACCAAATTTCAAGTTCGTGAGACTTATGGTTCCGACGTAATAGCTGATAAAAAATTCCGCGCCTATGGGATGTACAATGCCCCCTTTTAAAAACACGTTTATATAAACATTCGTATAAGCACCTACCATTGATATGTCTGCATACCAAATGTCAAGTTCGTGAGACCTATGGTTCCGAAGTTATAGCTGATTAAAAAAAAAACCACGCCTATGAGATGTTCCGCGCCCCCTTTTACAACCTCGTTTGTACATTCCCTCCTATAAGCACCTACCATTGATATGTCTGCATACCAAATTTCAAGGTCG